AATCTGCTAGCCCACCTAACACTCCCCTCCCCCCCCGATTAACAACGCTACTGTCCAAAGGTGTCCCCTGTGCTCCTTCATCCAGAGTGGAGACACAGCAGGTGTGTGATTTCCCAGATCATCAAGTGAAAACAGAGGAAAAAAGCCTGAAAAAAGAAAATGATTGCAGCCACCACATTATTATTATTATTATTATACAGGATTTATATAGCGCTCAACGCTTTACAATATAAAGGGAGACAATATTTATTTATTTATTTCAGGTACTTATATAGCGCCATCAATTTACGCAGCGCTTTACATATATATATTGTACATTCACATCAGTCCCTAACCCTCAAGGGGCGTACAATCTAAGGTAATACAGCAACAATACAGTTCAATACAAGAGGGTTAGGAGGGCCCTGCTCCTTGGAGCTTACAATCTAAGAGGGAGGGGCTGGTGGTACAAAAGGTAATAACTGTGGGGGATGGACTGATAGGAGGAATAGAAGATTCCATTATTAGCTGAAGGCAGGATAGGCTTCCCTGAAGAGATAGGTTTTCAGAGATCGCCTGAAAGTGGGCAGAGTAGGAGATAGTCTGATAGATTGGGGTAAAGAGTTTCAGAGGATGGGGAGGCTCTGGAGAAGTCCTGGAGATGAGCATGGGAGGAGGAGAGAAGGGAGCTAGAGAGCAGGAGGTCGTTGAAGGAGCAGATTGGATATTTGGAGACAGGATTGGTGATGTAATTTGGGGCATCTAAAGACTGGTCAGCTGCAATATATTGCATTTTTAGACTTTGTTTAATACCTCTTTAATATTGCATGAGAATGTCTTACAATGAAATAAGAATAAGAAAACTGATTTATAATAAAATACAGTAATGCCTCACAAGCCTAAAGTGTATCTCTAGGCATGTCTAAATGTAAACTTTTTTACTCGAGTGTTCTTGGGTAAATCTTGAGAGGGCTAGACAGCCTAGCTGCTTAGTAGTTTAGATCTTTTCATCCCAACATTGCTGTTGTACTCCAGGCCTCCCTTCTCCCTTTTGTCTGTTATCCGGCGATCCTGAAACACATCTGCTGGTGATGCTGGAACACCCTTCTCACTGCCTCTAACATGAAACAGTGAAAGCCTGACGTAAAATAATGTCAGTACTAACATGTGTCTCTCAGCCACATAATCAGAATCAAACCTGCCTTTGCAAAATTGGAATGTGATTAGGGACACTGGAGACAGAGAGGAAGTTACACAGCACAGGCTTTAGGAAGTACACTCCTACTTCCCTCCTTGTTATTAGGTATAGCATTGTATGTGCGTACTCAGCAAAGGATCACATACAACTCAGACACAACCTAACTTAGAGAAAATAGCAACTCTGTTCAATTGCTAAGTTTACTCTCTTTTTTTAAATATCTGAATAGAATTAGGAAGAGTTAGAATCCTTGTCAGCTTTTTTTTTTTTTTATATTAATGTATGCATCCTCTCTAGGCAAATTGATAAGTTCACCCGTTTTTATTTTCTAGGTGACCATTGTTAGTAAGATAGAAAGTGATAGGAAAACCAAAATGTTTGTCAAGCAAAGAATAGGTGCGGGTAAATCCCTCAATGGGGACATGATGATGTGGTCCAAAGACAACTAAGAGGGAAATCCCCCTCACTTTTCAAAGATTTCCTCTCACTTCCTGTTGCATCTCTAGGACATGAAGTGTAACAAAATTTCCCCAAAAGGATGAAGACAGGAAAAAAACTGACAGGGGTTTTAAACCTTAAAGTGGTTGTAAACCCTTAAATATACCCAGTAAAGTCACTTGCCTCAGATGATACAGAGGTGAAACAAATCCTCCTACATAGGTTGTACCTGTCCACGGTCTTCTCTTCTCTACGTCCATTCAAAGTCCATTTATAAAGCTTGTCGGAAAGTTCAGAAAAAAAGGGGGTGGGGAACTGAAATGAAATCCTACAGAGCTCAGTGAGGAGAGCTCTGAGAACTGATTGGAGGGAAGAGACACCCCCCCCCCTCCACACAGCTCACAGGAACAGAGCTGAGGCTGTCAATCTGCTGGAGGTACCTCCCCTGTCACTATTTTTCTCTTGGTGTCAGGAAAACTTGTCAGAAGTAACTCAGGTTGATAGCATAGGAAGGAAGCAGCAAACAGAAATGACACTTAGTGCTCTGGATTGAGACAAATACACACTATAGAGGGATATGCTTTGTTCATATTTCATGTCTGAGCTTTACAACCACTTTAACTACACTATCCAAAAGATAAGTTTTGGATAAGTTTTGGCTTTCATACTATATTTGTATAATTACCAATTAATAAAATAATTTATTGAAAAGCGTCCCTCTATGAAGTGCAATGACACTGGTGAAAATGAGACCACCAACACAAATGACGACTAGCAGGAAGTATCTCTGATCCATTCGACAGCTCCAGTTGCACCAAGTTTGTGAGCAGCATCTGGTAATATGCATCTGATGATTATGCCATATCACCGCTATAGAACATCCATTAGGTTAATTGTCAAGTGAGCCATCCCAAATTGTAAATTTGAGAAGAAATAAAATTGATAATAGGTCTTCACAAATTGAAAAAATGCAAAGCCGTTGTAGGAAAAAGGACTAGCCTTGTCTGTGTGATTGAAAATTTACAGCAGAACATATTGAGAAGGTCATGCTATATAGTGCCTGACGAGACTGAGTGCTTCCTGGGATGGAGGCCAGTTCTCAGTATATTGCTTTATGACATTGTATCAGGGCAGCATTAGCTAAATTTAGAATCAATGTCAATGTTCCTTCTGCAATATGTCATTCATGAAATGTTATCTATGTATTAGGGTTAGTAGTCTTTGTAGGTCTGATTGCAGTGCACATATAATGCAGCCTTTTTCATGCTGTTAGATAAGAAACAATAGCAATACATGTGGATGAAACAACACACTGACCATACAGGAGAATTCTTCTTATCTAAATAATATTCCTGCCGCCACTAGTCTTTCCATCTTAGGCTCCATGTACACGGGACACTTCTGAACGATGGAAACTGACTGCTGGAAAATGTAGGTTAAAAATCATCTGTTTAGCCGCGTTTGCATACCACGTTTATGCGTGTTTGTGAGCGTTTGCGTTTACAAGCGTTTTTTAAAGATAACCTCAGGAGACCTTCCAAAATGCCCAGAATGCACTGAAAAACAGTAAAAAAAATTAACCATTTCAGACATTTTGAGAGAAATAGAGAGAGCAGAAGCAGAGAGAGCAGTATTTGTTGAGATTAGCTGTCTTTTATTTTTTTTTTTGTGGTATTTGGATGTGTTACAGTTCATTTCTGTGCAGAAATTATTGCAGCAGTGTCTAACATATTTTCTTTCATGTGAAACCTCAAAGTATGGTGTACCAGGTCCATTTGAGTACCGGGTGTTCTGTCTCTCCAATCTATGCATTGATAGTGTGATCTCTGTAACTTACAGTTGTATGAGATAGCGATAACGTCAACCTCAGCTGGATACCACAGTCAGTGACTCAATCGATAAGACATCTTGTAGCTCTTGTGAAGTTTATTCCATAAACTGAGAGAATCTTACACCATTGAACATTCGATAGGTCAAAAGATCATAATGTGTCCTGCTTCATGACATGAGGCTAGAAGCTGCAATTCATTTCTGGGAAAAGGGGTGGGCTATCTATACAGCATTAACTAAACCAAAGGAAAAGGAGGAGCAGAAACAAAATAAAGAAAACACTTAAAGGCACTCCTAGATTGTAAGCTCGAAAGAGCAGGGCCCTCAATCCCCTCATGTTTTGCATTGTATTGGTATTGTTCTGTCACATGTTCTGTCCCCCTTTGTAATGTACAGCGCTGAGCGAACCATTGGGGCTTTATAAATACTGTATAATAATAATAATAAAAAAAAGGCATATGACAGTCATGTGAAACAACACAAAAAAAATGCTTTGCATGCATTTTTCATGATGAAAAAAGGTTCTGGACATCATCTGGAAATGGAAGAGTTAAAAAAAATTTGCAAACGCTTATAAACTCGGTTAGCCACGTTTACACGCGGTTACAAGTGTTTGGCATTTAAAATGCTGATAAAATCTACTCCTGAACACAAGTTTGGTGGGTTAAAAAAAAACGACTGTAACTCAACTGCCTGTAAACGATGATGTGTACATGGACACATAGGAAAATATTAGGGAGAGTTCAGGGGCTGCTGAAAAAAACACAAAAAAGCTCCTAAACCTGAGTTCATCAGCTGCAGTGTACATGGAGCCTTACTGTTCAATCAGTTATGTCCATGTGGAACAGGTAATACAAAAATGTTTTCCTAGCTTCATCACCAGATGCTTGTGGGGTTAGAACAAGATTGCAATAGTTATAAGGGCTCATACACACAGACCCCGAAAACGTCATGTTCAGGTTCATGTGTTCTTTCTATGGATTTGAATGCACCTCTATTATAGTCAGTATGCCCAGGGTAGTGTTTAGATCTGTTTTCAAGAACTGCATTCAGGGACGTAAACAAAACAAAAGAATAAAACCCAAATTTTGCATTTGGACAAGCATGTATGCATATTTTAAGTGTACATGCATGTTATCATTATTATTATTCAGAACTTATATAGCACCAGTAGTCTAAAGGGAGACAGTACAGTTACAATACAATAAAATATAGGAGGATTAAGAGGGCCCTGCTCATAAGAGCTTACAATCTAATTGGCTGGAGTAGGTTGTACAAAGGGTTACAGCTGAGCTGATGCTTGATTGTGAATCACTTCGTCTAACAAGTATGAGAGTTGGAATTCAACACAATGTGCCCCATGACACCAGTGTGTCCTTCAATGAGTGCAGATGTATACGCTCGGAAATCTATTCTAGTTATAGATAAAAAATTAAAAAAAATTAGGCTTGTAAACACTGTGCCCATAAATGCACATAAACGTGTATATGTACCACTCCATGAGTTTCCAACTTCTGGTAGCAAGATTCAGCATATTTGTTAGTAAATTAATCACTTCAATATCGGGCACTTTTACCCCCTTCCTGCCCAGGCCAATTTTCAGCTTTTAGCACTGTTGCACTTTGAATGACAATTGTGCGGTCATGGAACGCTGTACCTAAATGAACTTTTTATCATTTTCTTCACACAAATAGAGCTTTCTTTTGGTGGTATTTAATCACCACTGAGTTTTTTATTTTTTTGCTAAAAAAAAAAAAAAAACACCTGAAACTTTTGAAAAAAAGCACTTTTCTTAATTTCTGTTATAACATTTTACAAATAAATAACATTTCTTCATAAATTTAGGTCAGAATGTATTCTGCTACATTTCTTTGGTGAAAACAATAAAAATAATAATAACAATTTAATTTGTATTTTTTTTTCAAATTTTTCAATTTTTTTATTACATTATTTTTTCTTTTTTTTACTATTTTTTTTTTAACACACTGTGACCAAAGCAATACAATATTACCATAGTAACACTGAACTACTCTGGGCAGGTGATCAGGATTTTTCTTTTTTTAACACATTATGATTGCTAATACCAATGTATTTCATTGATATTTGCAATCATTGTTACTGAATGAAACTGGTTCATTCAGTCTTTTGTTGTAATTAGCTGTGATTAGGCAAAATTGATCACATGATACAGATGGGCTGTGATTGGCCCTGTCTGTATCATGTGACTACTTTGACCAATCACAGCTAACAACGCAATTGTATACAATGGATGGCATGGCAGGAAGCCATCCATTGTATACAATTGACATGTGATCTGCTGTGATTGGTCACAGCGGTCACATGACACTGGTGTAGTAATATGTCATCCGCTGTGTCCCATGGACATCATTATGCTACAGGCCGGGCGGGAAGGTGTTAAATATGTTTGGGTGCATGACGCCTTAAAGGATAAGCCTTCTTTAATCACCTCTGAGCCATGCCCACTGGCATCCAATCAGTGGACAGGGTTTTTTGTTGCACTGGAGAACGCCATCCCATGCAGCTCACATGCAATAGAATGTTACATAGTTACATAGTTAGTCTGGCTGAAAAAAGACAAAAGTCCATCCAGTTCAAGCATTTAAAAAAAAAAAAGTTAGAATCCTATACCCACAGTTGATCCAGAGGAAGGCAATGTAAGGATTTGCTTATTAATTGATCAAGCTGTCTACACAATAAAAAATGTTTTTATGACCTTCTAAATAAAAGACGTTACATTTATGTGGGTGAAGTTTTTCATGTGGATCCGAAAGAAGCTGGAATTGTAACATTGCTGTTTTTCTTTTCCCTGTATGTGACAATATCCTGGCCTTGGGCGTCCGTGTAAGTGTCATTCTGCATGCTTTGCTGAAGTTTTTGGCACTGTTTTCTGAGTGTTTCACAAGGAATCTACGATGGGCTGCAATTGATAGTCTGTAGCAGTGGTTGTCAACTTATGAGCTAGAGAGGCCTGAAATGTGGGCCCCTGACCTCACCAAAGGGCCACACATAATGTTCAAAATATGTGTTGCTTGCTTGAGAGGACTGTCAAAAACTGCAGACTTATGGACATGCTACATTTTTGGCTGGGATATGTTGCAGAAGGCAGTACGAAACTGGGAACGTTAGGCTAGTAGAGATCAATGCTATTACCCTAATCAATGTTTCCACTACAGACTGCTGAGGTTCGAGGGCCACACATCATACACCAAAGAGCCACACGTGGCCCTTGGGCTGCAGGTTGGGCACCAGGTGTCTGAAGCATCCCAGTTTTCACAATTGAAGAAAAGAGAGAGTTTCTCATAATAAGGTTCTTGGGTGTCCGCACAATCCCTAAACAATGGCACACAGACATTTATTTTCTTAGGGAGTGAGGCACCAGCCCCCCATGGAAATCTAAAGGGTCTCCTTTTGAAAATAGTTGTTCACACTTCAACTTAAAGCAAACCTGCCATAAAATGTAAACATGATCACCCTTCCCCAATATTGCGGACACCAGATGATACCTTTGGATCCTTTTCTTCCTCCTGATAGTGCTGCACAGTCAGATTCCCCTTTGGTGATGCGAAGAGCAACACAATAGTTTTGGGTATCTGAACGACCTATTGCTAAGCTCAAGCATTGTCTGGTGGGATTAGGGGTAAACCCAAAATGCAGCAATATATAGGCTGTCATTGCTAATATCCATTTGAAAATGTAAGTTACTCAGCTGTCTCTGGCTTCAGCACTTTCTATATCAATGACCTAAACAAAAGCTAAGTTGACTTGTTAGCTAAGGTCCAAGGAGTTTTTATTGAAGAGCAAGGTACAGAGATCTATGGTGCCTTATATGTAATGACTAGCTACAAGTCTTCTAATAGCCGGTACTTAAAGCGGAGCTCCACCCAAAAGGGGAAGTTCCGCTTTAAGCCTTTGTCCCCCACTCCCCGTTAAGGATTGGCACCTTTGGCACCCGAATTTGACAGGTACTCGCTCCCACTTCCGCTGCGATGGCCTAAGTGATTGGAAGCGGAAGTTGTCCTCCCCCCTCCCCGTAGTCTTCTGGACACGTGACAGGTCCCAGAAGACTACGGGGCCATTCACAAAGCGCAGCGCTTCTCGTGCATGCACAGTGGGCACCCGGCTGTGAAGCCGCAAGCTGTCACAGCTGGGTGCCCACACTGAATATGCCGGCGCCAGGGAGAGAAGACGGCCAGTGAAACCAGCCGTGGTGAGGACACCGCTGGACCGAGGGACAGGTAAGTGGCTGTATTTTAAAAGTCAACAGCTACAGGTTTTGTAGCTGCTGGCTTTTTTTTTTTTTTTTCTGAGGTGGAACTCAACACACGTTTAACACAGAATGAAACCCATTGGTTTAATGTTTTCCCAAAACAGTTACATTCAAGGCATGCCATGAATGATAACCCTCACTGTTGCTTGTGTTTTCAACAGAACTGTCAAGCCATCAAATGGCTGGTGTCATAACTGATCACATGTGCAGCACCATGACAACTGCAGATTAAACAAGAGGATAAGATGGCAGCTTCTTCAGCTATAAAGGATAGAAGGGTTTAGTATCACTTTAAAGACTACTTATGCTGGGTACAAATGGGGATTTTTTCTTCTCCATTCAACAAAGTGGGCTGAAAAAAAAAAAAAACCTGCGGTTGCTGTACTAAGTGATGTTAGTGCGGCGATCTCTCCAGCTGAGCTATTGTGTTCTGACAGAGAGACACTCCCACCACCACCACCACCACCACCAGAACACACCGATCAGCGCTCACAGGCATTGGCTGCAAGCGCTTATCAGATGCTGGTTTTACATCGATAACAGCCGGTCTTTAGCCCGGCTTCTGTCAGACAGGCTGCTATACACACGGGTGAAAGTCGGCCAGTTTCTGTTGAACCGGCCGATATTTGTCCCGTGTGTACCAGCCTTTAGTTTTTGTACCCTATAGCAACCACTGCACAATTAGCTATATTTGTAGTGAACTTGACTCACCTGAGAAAATTATAAAGATTCCATTGTAGATTCCATTTAATTGCCACTAACCAGATTGGTTTGTCCTGATAAGCATGTCAGGTTTCTACTACATAATTGATGGGCTCTTTTACTGTCTGGAAAATATAACTGTTGTTTGGATAACATTCACTTGATGGTTTCCATGTGTGGTTTATGAGATTTACCATGTGCTTGTTGACACTCTTACCAACATTGAGGTAGACATGTATTGTTTGGTATCTATTTACTAACTCCATACCATTTTACAATTGCCCAGAAACAACTTAACTGTTCCCAGATAGCATTATAAACCAGCCCTCCCTTACTGGAAAACAGTAGCTTGCTGCATCATAAGGTTCAGTTAATAGCTGGCCCTTACGTCTGTATTGGTTTTTAATTTTTAAGCTAGGGGCCTAAAGTTACTAGCAGTTGAAAGCAAGCTATAAAGAAATGACAGAAGATCACAGCATCCAACACTGCTGCTATGGGGTCTATGGTGGGAGGGGGTCCCATTATGGCAGCTGTTGAGGCAAACCTTTGATTGATGTTTCCAGGCTAATGGGCTAGATGTAGAGAAGTACTTATCAGGAACCTGGCTAGTCACCAATCCCTCTTTGTACAGTAAAGCTGGCTTGGCAGTGATGATTGTTTGCTCTCAGAACTTCTTGTATGGCCTAACCAACAGAAAGTAACCCTGTATGCCTAATTCATTCTAAAATCCCAAAGTGTCCCCGCAGCTAAAACCTGATAAGTTGGGATTTGTAGGTCTGCAAAAAAAAAAGCAAAGTTTAAAGAAGTTTGTATTAAAGATGTAAAGCAGGGGTGTTGAACACAATTTAATTTCGGGCTGCATCAGCATTATGGTTGCCCTAAAAGTTATGGTTGCTACTCCCCCCCCCCCCTTACATCAGATGTCAAGAGCCCCCCCCCCCACCCTCCCTTACATCACAGTGCACCCCTTACATTGTGCTGCTGCTGGGAAGAAGCTGGTTGTGGAGCTGGGAAGCAGAAAGTGCAGAGTTTGGAGGAGGTCCAGAGGAGGGCTGGAGTCAGCTGCCAGAGTCTGCTGAATCCTGATACCAGGGGAGGCAGAGATGAGGGGGTGCTGCGGCTGCACAGAGAGGCGCAGGATCTGTAGGAGGGGTTCTGTCCTCCTCTCTGCTGCCGACTGTGGAGACAAGATGGGGCAGAGAAGAGAGGGTTACCGCAGCTGCAGGAGGGCTGCAGGGGCCACATGAAATGGCCTGGCAGGATGGATTCAGCCCCAGGCCTTATGGTTGACATGTATTCTAGAGTTATTGTGTGTAATAACACTTATGTAATAATATGGATATAGTGATTGGGATTATCATCGCTTCTACAACTCGTATTTTTTTTTCTAGTAACTACTAGATTGCCTCTTTCAGCACTTTCTTGATGTGCGTGGTGGGAGGGCTAAGAATTTACATTAAGGCCATGAGATCTCAGATCTGATATGCTGATAAAGACTGGTAAGCACATGAGGGCAGAGCAACAAAATAAAAAAGTGAATCTGCTGCACTGTTGCCTCCCGCCTCCTTGGCGAGTCCCATCCACAGATACTTAGCATTGATCTCTAGTGTGTACAGACTATGTTGATAGCTCTCCTGATTATTGTTTTTGAGGTTGGC